GCACGCCTATAATAGAGTGCAAGATAAATAAAATATGAAAGTAATAAATACCACTATAAAACGTTTAAAAATTTCTAATAAAATAATTAATATAAAATCGTTTAACCATAAATAAAAAAAAAAAATGTAGAATTATCGAAGAGAAAGAGTTTATAAGATTGCATGTTAATAGTAGCTTATGTTTTATTTTCTTAGAGATTGAAAAATTTTTTAATGCTTCAAAAGTATATATTTAATCTTTTCTAGTACTAGTCAAAAGATAAAAGCTACACTGAGCCCCATTGAATCGACTTTTTGCACACTCTTTAGAGTTTGAATTGTATAATTTTATTTTGATCCTAAAACATGGACCGCAAAATGAGTCGACAAGTACACTTTTTATACAACAAGCGATTGTTTACTATGAAAAAAAAAAGAACATTTTTTCATAACATTTAACTGGTACACTCAAAGCTGTATAACGGTTTAATAGCGGCAATGAGATTGTCATGTTTTAGTGAAACAAAAATCTAAATTTTTTATTAATTGTTCATCCTTTTAATGAAAAAAAAAGTTTTTTGCTGTATATGTATAATTTTGTCATTGTCAGCGTTAAGTGGGGAGACGTTATATTGCCACTTAAGTTAGGTACAAGTTTCGAAGCTGAGTGTAATTTTTTTAATTATTAAGAATTATTAGTGAAAATATACTTACACAACTTAAAATCTCAATACCCTATGAATATTTAGTAATTTATAAAGTATCGCAATAAAAATGTTTGATATTAAGTAGTTTTAAATGGTGAATTGACATAATTGATACATATTTTGTTTAAATTACTATACTACTTTATAATTACTTTAAATTTACTAAGCTAGTTATGTAAAATTTCTGAAATCATCAATAAGTTTAAAGTATATACCCAATCAGACATTAAGTTATTTGTAAAATTTAATTATACAATGTTAAAATGATCTTTTTTACTATAAATTATTTAGATAGTAATGTAAATTGGCGTCGTGACATAATAATAATCAATTTTATCCAGCATTAATTTAAAAATAAATACTGAATGTGCTGATATATTCATATAAAATACAATTTTTTAGAAATCCAAATGTAATTTCATCTCATCCAGTTTATCGACAAGATACTTATCACATAAAAATAGTGTGTTAGATATTTATTGATAACTTATTCGATGTCGATAACTAGTGATGGGCATTTTCAAATATTTTAAACAATTGATTAACTATTCGAATTGTGTTTATACAACCGAATAGATTATTTTTAGCATAAACTATCGAATAGTTTTTAAAACTATTCGAATATACTGTGTAACTATCGAATAGTTCGATAGTTACTATTCGATAATTCCCATCACTATTGATAACCATCCAAAATCACGGTTAATATAGTTTTATTTAAATATATTAATATATTTAATTGAATATTATATAGTATCTTCTCACTAGTTCCATCTGTTATCCCAATTAAGTTTTATAGTTTCTTAACTATGGTATACAGATAGTAAAAATATCGTTTTCAACGGTTTTCTTATGATAATAAAATGTGATAAGAATCCAGGCCCACTGTTAGCATTGGTCGTTGTGTTATACTGCACACTTAGCAGGATTTTAGTATTCGGCGGGTTAGTTGATCCTGGTTACCCACATGTTGTTTTGTGTCATTGCCGTTCGTCGTAGTTTTCAATTTAATAATTTTAACTTGATTTATCTTTTCTTTTTAGTTGTTTACTTATTTGTCCATGCTAAAAACAAGGCCTTATGTGTTATTAATCGTCATTTTCTATTCCGCGTATTCATTTTTGTGACTGCCTAATATAATCTTCGACTTTAATAGTTGTTATCCTGTTGATATGTTTTCATTTTTAAATTTTTTTAATTTCAAGTCTGATTCAGATAATGTTAAATCTACGGATCCACTTAGTGGGAAAACATTAAATCTCAATAGTCCTGAGGCAAGAGCTCTTAATATTTTTAACCAGAAATTGCCGATTTCTCGAAGAAAAAATGGAAATAATACTCCATTTAGGTAAGTGTATGGTATAAAAATTAATTATTAATTTGATAAAAAATTTTATATCATTTATTTTGTAGACCAAATTGTATAGCTGAAGTAACAAGTCCTGGATTTAGTTATCGAATAGCTCAAAGAGCTCGAGAAATGAGATCTACAACGCCAAATTCTGATATTTCAAATTTATCAGTATCATATGCTTCAAAGTATGTTATATTAAAAAATTATGTTGTTCATGAGTTCCTCTTATAATATTTGATACATAATTAAATTTTTTAATAGGAAATACTTTTAATTTGAAAAATAACTTTTTTTAGAAACAATTATAGTAACAGTAATTCTTCTCCACATGAGTTTCAAAATTTAGGTAGAGAAAATCCTAATGATAAAAAGCGTAAATTAATGGAAACATTAGACAATTTTGGTGTAAGAAAAAAAACTTGCCAAGAGGTATACTTCTATGTTAATAAAATTTGATAAAGTAAAGACATTTATCATAAATATACTAAAATTAATTTTTTTTTAATAGTTTGATTTTGATAATTTTGTAAATTGCCCTAAAAAAGCTATTGAGTCAATTGACCGAAATATTCCATTGAATGGTATAGATAAAACAAACAGAGAAATTTCACATTCACCATATATGACACCAAAGAATAATCATGTTATTTTTGATAGAAAACAGTAAGCATATAATAATTTACTTTTTTAAACATTGAAAATATTTTTTATATTAATATGTACAGGAAACCATAAAATTAGTTCATCCATAAATTAACTATTATGGTAATAATTTGACTTGTAATATAATAAATTTTTTATTAAGTTATACAGAAGCTTCCTTACTGAATAGTAAAATTTTGATTTTTGTGTTGGTATTTGGTTCTAAAAAAAATATATTAAAAATGTGAAACACCATCAACATCATCTGTTAAGGTGTATAACATTGGAGAAAAAAATTACAAAATATTTATTTTTATTAAAAAATTACCAAAATAACTATTTAATTTAAGAAAGTTTATTTGCATAATAAAATTATTAGCTTTGGGCGAGGGTTTATAACATAAAAATAATTAACATTTTAACTATATGAAATTTTAATATTTTAATAGAGTTCAGTATTTTCCCAGTATTTAATAACTATTTTAACATATATTTAGTAACATATAATTATAAAATAAGTTGCCTTATTTTTAACCAAGAAAAATAGATTTTTAATGATTCATAAACATTTATTTATTAGATTTATCAAAATTTTAAAGTTACTATTGCTATGATTTTTATTTTTAATGAATAAAATAGTTGTTTATAAAACTTAAAAAAGAGGTACAAAAATAAAACTCTAAAATATCTATTAGTCATTAAAATAATTTTTTGATTTTTACATTTGTTATGTTTATATTTTTAGTAGAATATTAATCTGTATGAATTGTGAATAGATCTAATTTGGAAACAGATTTTGGCAATAATGAGCAATTTTTGAGTTCTTAATTAATAATTATGCGTGATTAAATATTAATATGTGTTCTGTTTTCATTTTAGAAATAAGAGACAGAGTGATACTGATGTTAATAGTCATCATTCATATAAAAGACCTAAAACTCGAAATAATGAAATTTTGAGTTCTTATAGTTCAAGTAAATTTCTTCTGTCATCAAGACAGAAAAGAACTTATCCTATTGGTTAGTTTACTATAATTATTTTAATATTTAAGTTAATAAAAAGTTTTTTGTTTTAAAAAATTTCTTTATTGCTTTTAGACCCAGAGGGTGATGATTCTCCTTGCCGAAAACATTGTAAAAGTTGTACTTGTTGTGGTTCAACCGATGATAATAATAAGTCAATTAAAATTGACAAAACTACAGAAACTGATTTAGCTGGAGATCTTGTAACAGTTGCAGCTAGTAGAATATTCAATAGAAGTGGAAAAACACAAGTTGTTAAAAGAATTAGTATAAAAAGTGTATTAGATGAAGTATTTGATGAGCCAGATCCTACACCTTACACAAGTATTGAGAAAATAGAACAAAAAAAGAATAATGCTGTTAAAAAGGGTATTTTTTTTTATACATTTTTAATAATAGTAAGTTATAAATAAGAGTAAAATTCTGTAATTATTTCTGTACAAGCTTTGGTAACATGGTGAGCGGAAAAAATGTTGTAGAAATGAATGATAGAAGAGACAACACTTGATTTTCAGATGCTCTATTTTAACTTTTAATTAGAATTCAATAAAATAATTATTAACACATAACTTTCACACTTTGCAAAACCAAAAGCTCTGACATATCATTGTTCTGACTTGCACTCTGCCATTTTCAAACTGTCTTGTCACGGTAGTGGGATGGGCTGAGTCAGCCAGTAAATTTCATTATATTATAGGCCAACACCAATATTCTGATCTTAATACTAACAAAATTATTAACAAATGTAAAAAAACAATAATGTAGTAATTCATTGGTTTGTGTAAATTTTTAAAGTATTAATCTACAAAATGGTTTTAAAAATATATGATTATACAACAACTACTTGAAATAAAATCTAAAAACTATTATAGTATATGTAATATCTTAAATTTTTAATATTATATTAATTTTAATACTTCATTTTGATCAGGTACATCCACCAATGAAAAAAATAGTGAATTAAGCATTAAATTTCCACAATCACCAACAACTTCATCAATTATTTCACCAACAGTTGGATCTTTTGAAAAAACAAAAAATACAGTTATCCCCAAAACAACTTCACAATTTAATTTTGGTAGTACAACAATGTCATCAGCTGAAAAATTAAAATCACTGAATGAAGTGGATGGTGTAAAAGATAGTGGTCAGTCAACATTATCACCTAATAAAGAAATTGAAAACCAGAAATCTGAGCTTAGCAGTTTGGAACAACAAGAAAAATCATCCTCTGAATGTAGTAAAGTTCTTGAGAGTACTTTAAATAGCACATCAAATGATATAATTTCAAAAGAGTCAACTGAAAGCTCAGTTAAAACTCCTTTCCAGTTTTCTGCATTACCTTCTAAATCTTTGAATTCCAACTCAAGCTTAAAAAGTGATGCAGAGTGTGTTAAGAATGTGAATAAACCTGAAACTATTCATTCAATACAATTTGGTAATAAAGAGTCTTCCGGAAAAAATACAAAAGAAGATAGTGCTGTAGCTTTTAATAACTGTAATATAAATACTTCAAAACTACCAGCTTTTACATTTAAAGATAATGAAAAACAGCCAATGTCCGTTTTACAATTTGGTACAGAAAAAAATGAAAACAAACAACTAGCTCCAGTAATGCAGTTTGGAGCATCAAAACCTGAAGATAAAGTATCAGCTCCAGTAATGCAATTTGAGGCTTCTAAAACTGAAGAAAAACAGTCGGTACCTGTTATGCAATTTGGAGCTCCTAAAACTGAAGAAAAAAAGTCTGTACCTGTTATGCAATTTGGAGCTCCTAAAACTGAAGAAAAACAGTCTGTACCTGTTATGCAATTTGGAGCTCCTAAACCTGAAGAAAAACAATCTATACCTGTTATGCAATTTGGAGCTTCTAAAACTGAAGAAAAACAGTTTGTACCTGTTATGCAATTTGGAGCTTCTAAAACTGAAGAAAAACAGTCAGTACCTGTTATGCAATTTGGAGCTCCTAAAACTGAAGAAAAACAGTCTGTACCTGTTATGCAATTTGGAGCTCCTAAAACTGATGAAAAGGAACCATTATCAACAATACTCTCAGTAGCTTCTAAAACATCAGAATGTTCAAATAAACCTGTATTTTCCTTTGGTCAAAATACTCTTAATAGTTTAAAGTCTTCTGATAGTCTTAAATTTCAATTTGGTTCAACAAAACCTAATGATAATGGTTCAACCATTCCTGTATCAACAGAATCAAAAACTGTTATGTTTGGATCAAGTAATACAGCTGCTAGTTCAACTCCTTTCTCTTTTGGAAAAACTGATGTTCCTCAGTCATCAAGTGAAAAGTCATCATTAAAATTACAATTTGGAACTCCTCCAATGTTTGGAAACTCATCAGTAGAACAAATTAATACTAATGTACCAGCACCCAATAATCCAGGACCTAAATTAGTTTTTGGCAGTCAAAATACTGACATTAAACCAGCCTCATCAAACCCTACCATGATTTTTGGTAGTAATACAGACAATCCTGTATTTCAATTTAATAGTTCTAGTACTAAAACCAATGAAAAGCCAACAGAAACAACTAACAATGCTTTTCAATTTTCTGCTGCTAAGACTGTTCCATCATTTGGTAACTCAACAACTCAAGGTTTTGGAGATAAACCAGCGTTTCAGTTTAATGCTCAAAAAACAGATGACCAGAAATCTCAGTTTTCATCACCGTCCTTTGGAAATCAAACAGCTGCTGTTGCTCCTTTTAAATTTGGAGGTGGTGAAAAGCCTGCTGTATTTGGAAGTACATTTACTTCACCAAATCAACCAATCGAGTTCAGTAATAAAATTGAAACAAAAACTGAACCATTTAAATTTGGTGCTTCTACTAATGCATTTCAGTTTAGTTCCAATAAAAATGACAGTGGCCCAATTAAGTTTGGTCAAAGCTCAAATACATTTAATTCTTCTGGAGGATTTAGTGGCTTTGGTAAATCTTCAACTCAGCCTACTGTGTCATTTGGAAACACTGCACCTTCAAAACCTTCACCATTTGGAAATACTGCTGCTCCTGAATCAACATCAACATTTGGTAGCGTAGCTCCTACTTCAATGAACACATTTGGGACTACAGCCAATCGAGGTTTTCAATTTGGTAATTCAAACACCTCTACATCTAATAACCCATCTACATTTGCTTTTAATGCTGCTTCACAACCTGCAAAACCTGAAGGAGCTTTTAGTTTTGGCTCGACCACTGCTGCAGCACAACCATTCCAGTTTGGACAAGCACCAAGTTTGTCATCACCTCAGCAATTCAGTGGAGGACAACCTCAAGGTAATATTATAATTTTTTTTTTTTAATTATTAATTATAATTATATTTTTATTTTTAAATAACAGTTATATTGACTAATACAATGAAATATCTGTTTCATAATACTTAAAAAAATTCAATCATAAATTTTCTACTTATTTTTAGAAACTTTTAACATTTTTGACAAATATTTGGTATAATCAGTTATTGTGTGTTATAATATATTTAAAAATGAAGATAAACTATTTCTTTAAAATTTTATGTCAACTCACAATAATCAATTTTTGAAATTTAAGTACACTCAACACAATTTTATAGAGTATCAAATTTTTTAAAAATCTTTTTTTTTTAAGGAGCCTTTGGTTTTGGTTCGCCTCCACAGCAACAGCCAGGTATATAGAAAAAATTAACAATCTAATTTTCAAAATATAATAGTTAATTGAAATTATTTTCTTGTTTTTAGGAATGCAAGGATCAAATCAGGCATTATTTAGTATTGGAACAGCACCAGCTGGGGAACGACGAAAAGCCAAAGCTGTCAGAAGAAGACAATGATGACTTAAAATATATTTTTATAATTATTTATAAATGATAAAAGTTAATGTGATTTTCAAAAAACTTATTTTATTAAGGTTGGACTATTGTAAAATTAAGCCATCTATATGAAAATTGATATTAAAATGTTACCTATTATTGTTGGACAAATAATTAGTGGTAGTTGATAAATCATATTTTAAATTATTTGTTCTGTATGAATCTATTTTTAATGTTATTGGTAACGTCTTGATAATTATTTTTAGTTACTAATATTGAAATCTGAATTGTATCATAAATCCTATTGAATAATATGTATTTTGAGATTATTTAAAAGTAAATTTTCAATGATATAAAATATGCATATTAAAACATTAAAATAATATTAAGATTATTAGTTTACTATATTTATTTTTATTATTGTAACTTAACCTATTCTTAGATGTACTTTGTAATTATTTGATTTTTATGAATCATTAAAAGAATAATTAAAGATAAGTGTGACACACTATATAAACGAGCCTTTAATATTTCTAAAGAAATGTTAAATAACCAAATCCTGGAATTTAATTTTATATATAATAGTATTATGGAAAATAATCTTTACCGGCTATCATGATGTAGGGATAAATTGTATATACTTCGTAATTCTAGTGATATTATCCACATCTAGTTTTATTAGATCTATAGAAAAGTTTTATGATTATTTAAAGAATTCTACATTTTTAAAACAATAGTGAGGCTTTTTTAACCTATTTTTGTGTTCTACTACACACTAATAGGTTAACAAATAATAATAAATTACAAAGTAAAATTATTTAATATACTTATATTTCTATTTTTAAATAAAAGTAATATTGACTAATACAATGAAATATCTGTTTCATAATACTTGAAAAAATTCAATCATAAATTTTCTACTTATTTTTAAAAACTTAACATTTTTGACAAATATTTGGTATAATTAGTTATTGTTTGTTATAATATATTTAAAAATGAAGATTAACTGTTCATTTAAGATTTTATGCCAACTCACAATAATCAATTTTTGAAATTCAAGTGCACTCAACATAATTTTTGTAGATAATATCATGTACATACGTGTTTTATTTTATTTTGCTTTTGAATAATTTTCCTTATACTTGTGAATGTAAACTTTTCGTTATGTGAATAAAAAGAAATTATTGTTAATAATTTGGTTACAATTAATAAAATATTTAATTTTTTAAATCTATATCATATTTAAGCATTTAATGTAAACTATAACAATAATAAAAAAAAAAAATTCTCTCATCGAGTTTTTTACAATGTGAAATTGACCATCAAAGTAAACACCTCTCTTATGCCTCGACACGGCAATATACAAAAATGTATTTATGAGTTGTACTTGTACTTGTATAATGAAGTTGTACTCAAAACATAGTAGATATCACAATTTTTAACAAAAATGATTAATTTTACGATTTTGCGACCCCCGGGATATTGCGCCCGAGGCGTAGGGACCGCTGCTCCCCCTTGATACGTCCCTGATGATCCTTTATAAGTTATCTACTAAAAAACTAGAATTTTTTTTAAAAACCAGATAGTTTTGTTTTTTTTTGTTATTCCAGTCTTTTTTATAAACTGGTATATATTGGTTTTAAATTCCTTAGATTATTAGGTTTACTAAACTCAAAAATGCTTAAATGGAAATTTTTTCTAGCCCAACATCATGAGATAAAGTGAGGATGTAAGTATTTAAATAAGGTTACTAAACTTTTTTAAAATAAAATCCATTAGGTAGTGTTATATTTTTATTATTATAAAAAAACATTGTGGCGCACTATATACCAATTATGGAGATAGAATATGGAAACTATAATTAAATTAGTACCAGTCACATAACAGTAATAAATGTAATTAATTATAATATTAATTTTTGCTTTAAATTAATCATGTAGTATTATATATTTAATTTTTTAATAAAATTCTGAAAGATATACTATTGTGCAGGTAGATTTCCTGTTGTTGAATGAGAAAAACGAATGTATGTTTTTAAACGAGACATAAAATGATTAAATCTCTCCGGATTAAGCTTTTTTCTCAAATTTTCATCTAAAAAAAGAATAAGATTTTTAAATGAAATTTTTAATTTATACAAACAGCGTAATTTTTTTAACATTAGACATTCAATATTTTTTAAAATAATAATCATGGTAAACAAATAATTTTTGGTATCTATTAGTTTTATATATTTCTTGATGTTGTAATAGGCCCTACAAACATAAACAATCTAGTCTTCTGTTTTCTTCTTATTCACTTCTCAACACATATAGAAATTCTTTTACAACACAATATCTTTTCACATAACATATAAAACACAATAAACACCGTCTATCCTCTAAAACACTACTCCCACGATCACGCCACAAACATCCGCTCCTTCAAAAAAATACAAAAACCCTGATCAATAACGTATCATAAAAATGTAAAACCCAATAAGAGCTGGACGATAATCATACACATCTGTGGAAGGGGATCCGGGGAATACATTAAGAATATCCCTGGGCACATAGTCCTCGTCCTGTTCCAATCCAACCGACATACAAACACGTCGCGATCATCGTCCGGCTCTCTTTCGCCTTTTAAATCAATTTTGTATTTTTTTTAGTTTTGTTTGTTTTTCTTATACTATTATTGTATTATGTGTTTTTGATAATAAAATAATCGAAGATATTTTTTTTATACAAATTGGTTATTATAATTCATACTTTCTTCATTACTCCACGAGTAAATTATTGCATCAGTGAGGATTATATAATTAAGGTTAGAACATTTCAATTTATTGTGCACGTACTTAAGATAGCAAGTGACCCTCGAACAACACACCCCGAGAAAAGGGATAATTCTTATTTTGCGATATTCCTATAATATTCCCTTCCATCATACCTTTACCCTTTCCTTATTCTTTTTTTTGTTTTACAACATTGATTTATCAGTTATTAATTATTTATTTAATTTGTCCTTTAAGGAATAAATTTAAAAAAATAAAGACGTAAGCTTTTTATTTTTTTAATTAGCAACTTTCATATTTAAGTAGCATATAAAATAAAAAAATGTACTAATTAAGAAAATCACTGGAACCAATATTTTGGACCATTATTTTTAAAGTTATTACCATTTAAAATATAAAGGTACGGGTGTGATAATAGTTGTCATTAAACATTTCTTTGCCATATCAATCATCTCTCCTAGATATAAAAATATTAATAACTTCAGAAGTACTGGTTCAAAAGTTGTTATCGGTCAGTCATTCATGAATTAATCCAATAGTTAAGCTAATTAATTATGTATGATGTCGTTTGAAAAAATATAATTTACATTATTATGTGTTTTTGGTAAAAATAAATAAATACATCATATTATTATGATTATTATTATCTTTATTATTGTAAGGTATGAGAGATAAACATAAAAGTCCATCATGATTGATAAATCAAAATATATAAGAAACTAAAAAATATCAAAAATTATTTTTTTAGCATAATTAGAAAAACTGGGAGAATTGTTTTGTGTAAAGATACATTAACATTGCTAGAACTTGGTCTGACGCATTGCCATATGCTGAGATCGCTTTGTATATAATTTTTTTTTGATGTGCAAAATTAAAAGGCAATTAAGGCGGTTGACTTGATTACTATGAGCGGTACAATTTATAAAGCGGCCTTGTACCCCACTCTAGTGATATTAGTTATTGGTACTGTCCATTTTATTATCTGTATTTTTTGGTAAAATTTAAATATTCATAGAAAGAGGTGAACGGTGATATTTCGGTCAATATATATTGTATACATTTATTTAAAAAAAATGACGAATCAACTTTGGCATTATTAAATAATGAACAAATAAATTTTATTTGTTCAATAAATGAATTTTATGAAAGTACCCAAAATAAAATTAAAACTGGCCAATCAAAATTTTCATGTTAACTCGTTGCCATTATTTGGCCTGCTCAAAGAATTTATTTATTATGTCATCGAACAATATTATAAATTCTTAGAAATAAACAAAAGAAAGAAGTATTTAGATGATCAAAAATAATGTACTCTTTTAAATATTGAATATTATAAATGTCAACTATTATATGAAATTTATATATATTATATAAATATGCCTGGTCATATTTTGTTATATTTTCGGTCCAAATTATATTAATAAACAATTAATGCAATAACAAATATTTGCATTGTTACTCAAATGAGGTGTCGAACGTTAATAGGATTATTAAATAGTCAATATAAACTCATTTATAATAATAGTCAATATAAGTCATATAAATAATCATGTAAATTGTTACGAATAAATGGAAAAATAGAAATAATTTTCCATACTTATTGAATATTTGTATAATCTTTGAATGGGTGGTAGATATTTTAATTTTTTGATCATTATGGATATATTATTTTAATTCCCACAAATAGAAGTTTAGATAGTAAAACTAATCGATAACGTACCATCTATATCAAAATATTTAATGTAAATTGTTTGTTATTGACAAATGACTTACTGAACACTCTGTATATATATATATTGACGACGAGTTATATATTGCACAATTAGCAGGATTTTAGTATTCGGCGAGTTAGTTGCTCCTCCTGAATTAATTCCTCACGGCAGTTCCAGGGCGGCCCACAATAATTTCGGTCGATTAAAAAAAAAAAAAAAGGGTTAGTTGCTCCTGGTTACCCACATGTTGATTTGTAGTTCGGCGATTCTTCTGTGAAGAGTCAGCAGTTCACGTTCTTGTTGGACAGGTTCGTCCTAATTTCATTATTTTGTGGTGTTTGAATGTTTTTATCCATATAGTTCCCACGAGTAGTCGAGTAATAAAGGTCCATCATAGCAGAGCTCAATACTGTAATAAGGCTGTATACTCCATAGTGCGCCAAGTGCCATAGAGGATCCCAATGGTCACTTTACCTTTCGGCTCATTACCCTGTAACAAGTTAGCAGCTCTTTCACCTGATATGCCTAGGTTAGGGGGGGGNAAATTGTTGCCTCAAGCCTTACAAGTTTTATATTCGTTAGTCATTGAAGTGATGAAATATACAGCTCTTTTATAGTTTGTTATTATAAATTATTTTTATTATATAATTCATTTCAATCACAAATTTTTGTTGAAGTATATATGTTAATTTTAAAAAATTGTGGGTTATAAGGTTTTATGAAATATTAGACAAACGCTTGGCATCACTCTAGTAAATACTGAATTGTCAACATTAAAAATATTTAGTTCACTATTATTTAAAGAAATTTTAGTTACGTACTATATGAAATTAATTTTACTTCTATATTACATTTTGGACACTTTTCGGACTTCTTATATTGCTTATAACATTCTGGACCAATGGGATGATTGCAAGGTCTCATAATTATCATTGGATATTCTTTTTGACAGTTAATGCATTTATTTTCTATTTCATCTATAAATTAAAGTAAATATGCATAATAAGTAAAAAATAAATTTTAATCAGAATTGTTATGGAAGTACTATATTATTTATTTATGATATCGTGTAAAATACATACGTTTATTTAAATACTTTCGAAAGGGTGCATTACAAATTATGCATAGTTTATTTTCTTCTACCGAATCATGATTGTTGGAACACAAATTTCCAACTCTATGAAAACATGGAATTATTGTGACTGATGATGCTTCTTTTTCACATTTTGTACACAAACCATGTTCGTCTAATAAAAAAAGGATCTATTTATGGAATATAAAAATAATTTTATTATATAATAAAACATTGAAAAATTAGACAATGTTGGAAAAATAACTTGACGACGTTATTCTCGAAAAATTATTCGCGAAGATGAGAAAAAATGTTTGTCAATAATGCTAATTGTCGTTAGCGTTTTTCGTTTTAAAACTAGAAAATTTTATCAAATCTGCTTAGAGATATATCAAAAACACTTTGAAAATTTTGTTGAAGTCCGTTTATCTCTAACTGATTTATGAGCCTTTTTGCTTTTTTTATTTCCACGTGCATAGTTTTTAGTAAAATATGATTTTGCTTTTTGCATGTCAATTTTGCTTCAATTTTATGTTAGGTAGTTTTATTAAAAACACGTCATTTAAAGATTATATATATGATTATTAAATTTTCTTTCGTCTACCTGTTGTTTTGAATAATAATAAGTAGATTATAATGAAGTATAATTGTGAAAACACATAAGTAATTTTGTTGTCATAATATTATTTTTCCATTATTATTATTTAATTTACAAGTGGGAATAATTTTCTGGTAAACTGCTTTTGGAGTTTTAATAATGTCGTACGTCGGTAGTGCCCCAACGTAGATACAAAAGTTTTATACAAATTAANATACAAAAGTTTTACACAGATTAATTAATGTTTATATATATATATATATATTGACGACGAGTTCGTTTTTCAAGCTCTTCTCGAGTCCTCCCGTTGAATTAACTGATCAGCCCCAATACCTCAAATTAGTGAACTACTAATGGGGTAGAGTTTAGTCCCGTCAGCACAGTCTAGCTCAAAAGTAGCAGACTGAAGGGTGGCTCCTTGTCAGCCACTAGCACAACTACTTTTTTACTATACCCACTAAAGGACAGTTAAGCCCAAAAACTAGCCAGCACGTACACTAATTATTAAAATTGACTAAAGGACCAGTAGTCCAACCTCGACTTTTGCCGCATACACACAAATTTTAATATCACGACGGATATAAAGTATTTATTGTCAACATTCAGTGGAACAAAATACACAAAAATCATACTCAATCTGAATCCAAAAAAATTTTTTCATCTTGATAATTTTGATTTTTCATGATTTATTGCAATTTTTTTGGGGTTTTTCGATATTTTTCAAATTTTGACGGCTCAACGGGCTAATTAACGTCCAGTAAATTGATATACATAAAAATCATACTTATCCGGATCCACAAAATTTTTTTTCATCGCTATTACTACAATATTTCGCCTTTTTTGGGGTTTTTTTTGCATTTTACTGAAATCTGTAGGGTGACCGGGCCAAATGGACTTCAAATTTGGATTCAGCAAGTCGAAATACATGTCCGTAAGTGGGTCCGGTTAAAAGTCCAGACAACTTTTTTGTTTTTGTGTGCTTGTGTAATAAATTACAGTTTTAAAACCTGACAAACCATTTGAATCTTCTTCTTCATACGTTAATAAGTTTATTACCTTTTCTTGGTAAAGTACTAGAGAAAACTCTGTTTATTTGACTAACTGTGTTAGTAAATTTGAACAGTGATATACCTGATTTTTTATTTTAATTTAGATCATTCAACGATGCACTAACTACATCGGGTTATTCATATTATATCAGATGCATTAAAAATACTTCTGCAGCGATGTCCTTTTAGATGTAACTCAAACCTTTGACACGTCGTAAAGGACTATTTTCAAGTTGAAATATATTTATTGCACCTTACTACTTAATACTTAAATTCTTGCAATCAATCCAACCAATCTTGCTAATCGCTCTTTAAAAATTCGTTATAATTTTGAACACTTACTTCAGTTTAATATTTCAGCTGGTGTACCTCATAGTAGTGATGAAGCTCNGTTTAATATTTCAGCTGGTGTACCTCATAGTAGTGATGAAGCTCCCTTCTTATACATTATTTATATTTCTGATCTTCCAACAAATGCAACTATCCTCGTAATCTATGCATATGGCAGATACTACTCTATTAGCAATTTCAAACGATTCTACAAGCGCTGGTCTAACTACAACGTCATTTACACATTCTTGTTTAAAGGTGTATCATTTGAAAGATTAAAATAAACAATTTAAAATCACACAAGTCACTTTTTCTTTATGTCTACAAAATTATTACAATCAAAAACTTTAACAGACCACAAAAATACGCTGTAAAATGCATCAAATATATTTGATGAAATGTTCTTACGAATATTAACTACAGATAATATTCCTAAAAATATTTTAATTTAAAAATCGATTAATATATTTTTTCTTTACAATACATAAAATGTATTAAAATGTTTTATATATACTGGCGGCCAAAATTATTAGATCACCAAAGAAATTCGAATTAAAATTTCTGTCGATAATTTTTTGCAGGTGAATTATTTTTTCTTTGAATCTACAGCAATCATGTTTGTTAATATTATAATAATATTTAATAAACCAACAAGATATCAAATCTTATTTGAAAAAAATCTTAAAGTTAT